AAATATTTAAATAAATAATATATGATAAATATTTATAAATTAGTGGTTCATAATTGGCTCTGTTACATTTTCTGTATGAATAAAAAAAAAAAAGATACACTACCATTCAAAAGTTTGGGATCAGTAGGTCTCTTACCCTCAATAAGGATACATTTAAAAATACAGTAAAAACTGTAATTTTGTAGTATATTGGCAAATCAGATTTTTTTTTTGCCACAATTATTACAGTCTTCAGTGTCACATGATCCTTCAGAAATCATTCTAATATGCTGATTTGTAACATTGTTATCAATGTTGAAAACTTCATATTTTTGAGGAAACGCTGATACATGTTTTTCAGGATTCTTTGATTAAAAGAAAATTCAAACAAACAGCATTTATTTTAAATATATATAATGGTAACATTAAAAATTTCTTCTTATTATTATATGCATTATTATTTTTATGTAGCCTACGTTATAAATGCATCCTTGCTGATTAATACTGCTAATCAAAAGAAGTAATAAAAAAGTACTCTTTTTGAACAATAGTGTATGTATACATATGGTACTGTTACTAAAAATCACAGAGCGCTCTTTACTGAGCTGTCACATTGATTTATTCAAGCCGATGTAATTGATCTTAAAAAAACGTAGCAAGGCTTCAGTGGACTCGGAGGCTTTAGACCTTCTGTGGTTATATTTGCATACATCCTCCGGCAATAGACCCTATAGGAGACAGATTTACACTTTGCAGTGCATTCTTCCACCAATTCCAGCATCGATATTAAATGTAAATGTGTTCACATGGGAATGCAGATCTAGTTCAAAGGCATGATATGACAACCCCTCTAAGCTCTTGCTAATGGTGGCCACTGATTGTGATGCCAGTTCCTATCAGTGTGCTCCCATTGTCCTGAAAATATCAGCTGTCAGAGATGCGTGGGAGGAAGAGAGACTGTGTAATTGAGGGCCGCTGAGTTGGTTTAACACACAGTATCCCCCTGTCTTCCTGATTGCCCTTTGTGTGTGGGTAAATTAGGAAGTGTTAGTACAGTTTTCCATTTTGTTGCAATTTTACCCTGTAATTAACAGAAGGACCATGATTTAATTGGCTGTATTTCAAGGTTCAGATGACCCCTTAATGTTGTTGTTTGTCGCCTGGCGTTTTATGTCCTCACACGTTAATTCTTCATTTCATGCTGTCCTTTGAGCGCACAACAAAGCTTTTTGTTTTTGCTTGGGATTCGATGATGAGAGCTGACAGGGCACGCATCGCGTCTTATAGCTGGGTTTCTATGGAAACCAGGTTACATTGGAAGACATTTGAAGGGAAATTTTTTTAAAAGAACAGATAGGATTAAGTGGCATTGACCCCCTAGGTCTATTTATATAGAGAGAGATCTAGAGAGAAATACGTGCAGAAATACATAAAAAAATTATTTTAAAATACAATGACTTGAATGCACATTTTCTATCTATCTATCTATGTACAGTATACTTTAATATAGCTTACACACACACACACACACACATACAATGTATATGTTTAATAAAAATGCAACACAAAATGATAATAATTTTCAGATAATTTGACCTTTCTGAGTTCAGGTTGTAAAATGTCATGTGGCATCTCTAAAATGTAATGATATTTTTGAATTAATATTTGATGTTATTTGGGAATATGTATTATTATTATATTATATTATATTATATTATATTATATTATAAGTGTGTGTGTATTTAAAAAAAAAAATGTAAATAGATAATAAAAGTCAATGTGGTATGACTACCTAAAACATTGTTATTTATCAATTATTAATTTGTGATATTTGGGGGGGGGGCTTTTTCATTTCATTATATTTCATATAATGAACATACAAAAAAATATGTTAGATGCCATTGACCTTAGTTTGGCTGTTGATGTTAGTCCATGAAACAAGTGAGGCTTTTTTCCAAATGATCGTTCTAACCACCTCAAACTTATGACCTCTGTCCTGGTCGGCCCTGGGAAAAATATACTTTGACTGACTGATTACATTTATGAACCATTATTATAACCAGCGTAGTGTGGAAACATAATCCTGCTGGTTGGCAACCAGGTCCATGGGGAGTCACAGTGTCACACTGTTTGGATTCATTATCCATATCTCAATGGATTGAAGAAAACCCCAGTGCTCACATTGCTTTACTGCCGCATGTCTTCTGTACTGCTGTCTTCATGCTGATTAACAGCCAATTTATCCTTAATGTCCAGCATACCATAAATTGCATACCATAAATGCTCACACTGGGTAATAGCCTTGTTATTTAATTTATTTTGGATGCGAAAAGGATTAAAGTGACATTTTTTGGAAGACATTTGAAGGGAAAACCCTCGGGCCCCAGTTTGTGCTCTGACTCAGTTTCAAAACAAATCTTAATTGAATTTGTGGGTCTCCTAATATTACTCATGTGCTCCAGACATGGCTCAACCCCGGTGAACCCTGTGCCTGAGGAGGAGGGGGGAAATTAACAGCCCCCTCCTTTCATGTGCTATCTCATAGGACAGCATGTTCTCGTCTCTGCTCCTGCAGCACTGGGCTGGAAAAAGAGTGCCAAGAGAGGCTTATGAGACGGGATACAGGTTCCACAAATATAAATGCTGGATTCATTATGCATCAGAGGTCGAGGTTGTATTTTCAGGATGATAGCTATATGGAGAATAAATAAAAGCAGGGCTGCGTATCTAATTGGAAGGTGGAGCTGCAATCCAATCCACTGACCTGTGCTTTCTTATACATTTTATCACTAATTTTATACATGATTAAAATTATTATTTAACCACACCCCGAAACTGCCACATCAGCTTGACATTATCACCGCTGTCCAGCTGCACAGGCTAGCCAAACTTATTAGAAATCAAAAGACAACAGAGGCAAACCAGTGGGAGCCACATTTAAGAGTCTGGATCATTTCGAATGAAATACATTTTATCACTAATTTTATACATGATTAAAATTATTATTTAACCACACCACGAAACTGCCACATCAGCTTGACATTATCACCGCTGTCCAGCTGCACAGGCTAGCCAAACTTATTAGAAATCAAAAGACAACAGAGGCAAACCAGTGGGAGCCACATTTAAGAGTCTGGATCATTTCGAATGACAAAACAGAAGCAATATGGCAGCATTTGAATGTGGAAATCCTCTGAACACATAAATCCCTGGACCTAGAAATTTCATATCCACTCGGGATAAACCCTGAGCCCTTCAAATGGACACTTTAGAGAAAGCAGTTTACAGAATTTACAGAAAACCCTTGACAGCTTATTCACATGAATCGGGGAACTTCAGCAAAAATACGGCTTGTAACATCAAAAACTATTAGAAACTTTAGAGAAGCTACATCAGCACTTACAGTATGATGCACTGCAAAATAAATAAATAAATCATTAAACCAGTATATTTGTCTTGTTTTCTAGCAAATATCTAAACATCCTTAAAGCAGGATGTATGAAGAAAATTGTTTATGCCTGGCAGGGGCGCTATGGTTTGTGGGCCCCATGAACGGCATATTTACTCGGGCCCCCCTTGGTAAAAATCGAGTTCCCCGCAGTTAAAAAAATCGTGGTCCGGGGGTCCCCCTCATTTGAAATCACGTTTCCCCCTCTAGGGCCCCCTCTAACGCTGGGCCCTTGGAATCGTCCTAACCTGGAATATTCCACACAAATATTCAGCAGCAAGAACAGACAATGAGAATCAACACAGATAATAGGGAATGTTTCCTGATTTCTTAATCTCCAAATCAACATTACAATCATTTCTAAAGGATTATGTGACATTGAAGGCTGGAGTAATGGCTGCCGAAAATTCCGCTTTGACATCACAGGAATAAATTACAATATAAAATGTATTAAAATAGAAAACAGTTATTTTAAATGTAATAATAATTTAATATTATTTCACAATATCACTGTTTTTAATATATTAATTGTAATAATATTTCTCTATATTACTGTTTTTAATGTATTTTTGATCAAATAAATGCAGCTTTGGTGCAAATATATATGCCTTTTTATTCTGTGTGTATTATAAAATAAATTTTTTATATTTAAATGGCTACCAAAGTTTTGATTAATTTCTCCAGTTCTGCATTCTGACCTTGATTCTTCTTTACTTTGTATTGTGTGCTTACAGTAGTCACGTAATGACAAACGACTTGGCAAGGAATGAGGAACTGAATGAAGAACAAAAGTTCTAAAAGACTCTAAATTAGATGTGGCCCCGAGTCCTTTGAACTGTCAGTAGAGATTTATATTCCATTTGAGCAAGGACACATTGTACACTCCTCAGGAAGCCCAGGGAGATCCTAGCATGCATTATTTCAAATAAATCAAACCAGTCTAAGCAGTGGGTGGAGAATGTTGGGATAAAAAAAAACGCAATCAGTATTTCTTACTGTGCAAACACACCTCAGACGGAAAATAAAAATGAATTTAGCCGCCTCAATATTATTGCTATAAAACCTATAGAACCTGTATTCCTATAGAGCTCCCACATGAAATGACAGATCTCCCTTTTCTTTTAAATTAATGTTTACATGGTGCTTGTCAGCAGTCTTTGAGCTTCTCCAGTCCATTTGTTCTATTGCAAGCAAATTCTCTGTAATCGTGAAGAAATGAGTTAGGGCTTGCTTTCCGCCTACATGCATAAGAGCCATTGATGGGTGAAAAGCTTTGCGGTGAGAGTGCTTGATATTGCTGCGGCATATTCCGCTAACATTGTTCCCTTGGAAATAGATTATAGGCCTGTATCTGTGATAACTTTAATTACATTTCATCATTTCTGCACTGTGTGATTGTGAGTGTGCTTGGTATCAAATTCAGTGTTTGATTTGCAGAATATTACAGTAAACGACTCCATAGATAAGAGTCATTGCTCATTTGACCCTTCTAATGCACTCTTCTTGTCTGTCTCACTGTTTTGACCATCTGTTTGTCCATATTGTGCGGCCCATCGCTTCCGCCCGGCTGTAGACATCGCTGTTGGCCTCCCCATCGGTGTGATAATAGCGTGTGGCTTGGCGCTGCTGTTGCTCGCTGCATTCGTCTCCTGGAAGCTGTGCTGGGTCCCTTGGAGGAACAAAGCCCTCTCGTCGAGTTCTGCGGCCCTCGCACCTGACGACTGCCCCTCGTTTCATTTACCGTCTCTTCTGCCCAGTCCTCAGCCGTCTGAGGTCACTATGGCGACTGAGAAGGAAAAGTATCCTATGGCGTCGATGGGCTTCCTGGAGGCAGCTGTTAAAATAAGTCACACCTCTCCCGACATCCCTGCCGAGGTGCAGCTCTCCATGAGGGAGCACTTCCTGCGCCGTACGCAGCGCATGCAAAGACAGACCACAGAGCCAGCGTCGTCCACCAGGTAACTGTGCCAAATTACACACATACACTACTGTTCAAATGTTTGGGGTCATTAAGAATTTTTAATGTTCTTGAATGCTATATTCAAAAATAGTAATATTATGAAATGTTATTACGATTTTATATATATTTTTTTTAAATGGAATTTATTCCTGTGATGGCTAAGTTGAATTTTCAGCATTATAAGTCTTCAGTGTCACATGATCCTTCAGAAATCATTCTGATTCTGTTTTTTATGACATAATGCTTACCCATCAGAGGTCCTGTTCTTTATTTTGATATATTGTATGTTTAGATATTCTAGCAGCCTGAGAGTTTTGTGAAGATGATCAAAAAATGCTGTAAAATAAGTCACACCTCTCCCGACATCCCTGCCGAGGTGCAGCTCTCCATGAGGGAGCACTTCCTGCGCCGTACGCAGCGCATGCAAAGACAGACCACAGAGCCAGCGTCGTCCACCAGGTAACTGTGCCAAATTACACACATACACTACTGTTCAAATGTTTGGGGTCATTAAGAATTTTTAATGTTCTTGAATGCTATATTCAAAAATAGTAATATTATGAAATGTTATTACGATTTTATATATATATTTTTTAAATGGAATTTATTCCTGTGATGGCTAAGTTGAATTTTCAGCATTATAAGTCTTCAGTGTCACATGATCCTTCAGAAATCATTCTGATTCTGTTTTTTATGACATAATGCTTACCCATCAGAGGTCCTGTTCTTTATTTTGATATATTGTATGTTTAGATATTCTAGCAGCCTGAGAGTTTTGTGAAGATGATCAAAAAATGCTGGCATTGTATGACGAGTTGCATATGTATGAAGAGTTCAGATGCAAGAGCCTCTAAGTGCCGTTTGAAATTTTCTTCTAAAACGAGCATTTTCCTCAGCCTCCTATGTTTATGTTCAGTTATTTCACTTTAATGGCAATGAAAAGAACCTATTTATTGCCATTAATGTGAAATTACTGAACCTACACATAGGAGCCTGAGAAAACTGCTCATTTTAGAAGAAAATTTCAAACGCCACTTAGAGGCTTTTGCATCTGAACTCTTCATATATATATATATTTATAAATCATACAGAATGAAGTTTTTTGAAAATCTAAAAATTCAGAAAGTTTCCTGTGAGGGGTAGGTTTAGGGGTAGGGTTGGTGTAGGGCAATAGAAAATACGGTCTGTACAGTAGAAAAACCATTACGCCTGTGGAGAGTCCCCACAAGTATAGCAAACCAGACATGTGTGTGTGTGTATATAATATATGTATATTATTTTAAAGTGATTTTTGGGTTAGATGGCCCTCTGAGATTTTTAATAATGATTAATAATTATATTTTTCATATAATTTTAATACATTTTTATTCAAATTATTTCATATTTTACATGATTAAAAGTTTTTTTTTTTATTATATCAGATATGTTTTAGATATATTTATCACAATTCAAGACACATGATTTATGTAGCAGTTAAAACAATACAAAGCAGGAAGATAAATATGAGATAAAATGAAATTCTGCTGGAAAGCGGCTCTATAAAGACATTGGTGTCATTGTTTAGTTCTAAATCAGTTCAGAGTTGATTCAGTTCAGTTTGATAACTTTGTAAAGTTCATCAATTATAAAACAAGTACAATTCAGCTATAAGCAGCTCTACAGGAGGCAATAGTGTCGTTACTCAGCTCAAGTCAGTTTAATGCTGATATAATTATAATAAATGAAAATTCATTTATGAAACAAATTCGATTCAGCTATAAAGCAGCTCTATAGAATAAAATAGTGTCAATATCTGATTCAATTGAGTTTAAGTTTTGTTCTCATCCAATAGAGTCAGTACAGTCAAATAATCTGAGTAATAATGAATTAAGTATGAAGTATTAGGATATTCTGTGAAAATCAGATAGGAATTAAATACATTTAAAAAGGAAGCTTCTTGTCCAAGGTAGGGGCCATTTTACCCCTTTCATTACTTTCAGTGTTGCACAATAACAAAAGTACTGAATGTTTTCATTTATTTCCCATATTTTTCCATTCATCTCTAAATGTTACAATTTAATTCAACTGCATGCCATCCTTCCCTTTTTCCACATCTTTTATACATTTTCAGTCTGTGCCTGCAGTCATTTACACACCCAGTGCTGCATACACATTTACACATTTCATTAAAATATGCAGCATTGTATATACCTGAGAGAATTGCATACTATGAATCACACTGTCAGACCATTCACAGCAGGACTCAAAAGACATCATCAATCACATATACCCCATAACAGAATGACACCGACAAGAGAAGTGTAAAAATATTTATATTTGAAAAGAATATTGCTGATGATGCATAAATATTTAGAGGAGAGTGGAGTCTTTCATCGGAGACTGCTTTGTTATTTTATGCCTTCAATAATGTATTTTAGTGTCACTTCAGGGCAAGTTTTTAATGTTTAGCTGTTCCTTAATTCCTGGAACCATGCAAGACAAGTTCTGCTCATGCATACTTGATTCTTTTGGGGTAGTTCCAGGACACACTTAATTACAGCACTGTACTTGTCCACTTGAAATGAAATATTTGTCATGTACGATTTGATTGAGCTTCAGTATTTGGCTGCTCTTGAAGATTTTTCCACTGCTTTCGGTTATACAGAGCATTGGCACAGCAGTGGTTTTATCCATATTAAATTATATGCAGTTGAATTAACTACACCAGAATTCATTTTAACACTCCTTTTGAGAACAACTGTTACATAACAAATGAAAGAAATGCTTTCTTTTGTCCTAGCATTAAGGTTTGTCTTCACTAGAATTAAAGGGCCAAACTGGTTCATTTGAATGGGTAGCCACACAATATTGGCCATGTACCATGTATTTTATTGGACAGGGGTTATCCAACCTTTTGATGGCAAAGACCGCCAAATGTGAAGGACCTTCTTTTTAAAATATAAAGGCAGCTCTGCATATTTTTATGTATGAAGATATGTTGTTTGCTAAGTTCAGTAATTGGCTTTTTATTGCAATTGTACTGAAGCCAGAAGAAATTAGAACAAATAATAACAAATTTATATATATATAAATTTTAAAAAAATGTATGTATACATTATATACAATGTAAATATATATATTTTTGAAATTTGGAAAACTACAATTGTACAAGAAAATACTATTTTAGAATCTTTCTCATTTTGTTTAATTCAATGTGTTACTTGCCATTTCTGTGTAATTAATTGTGAAATTTAACAGAAATTTCTGAGTGACATTTTTTTTCTGCACCATTTGTTTCAGTGTATGGATATTTATGTGTGTAATATATAATATTTATTATATACGTATAACATTGATATTTATAAATATAATATTATAATATTTATTAATAATAATAATAATAATAATTAGAAAATTAAAGATAAATATTTTCAATTTAAATTTAAGGTTTTTAACGCATGTTTTGTGGCACCTGTGTAAAAAAAAAAAAAAAAAATTGCCTTGGGCAATCGTTCAGTTTTTAATCCAACTTTTTCTGAACACTCATCAAATCCCTCATGCTACTCTTTCTCTTCTTTATCTCATTTTTCCAGGCATAGTTCCTTCAAACGTCACCTTCCCCGTCAAATGCAGGTAGGGAGTCTGGACCTGGGAGATGACTATGATGTGGATGAGCAGCCAACCAGCATTGGCCGTATCAAGCCTGAACTCTACAAGCAAATGACCACAGAGAACGACGAATCCGGCAATAGCAAAGGTGGCAAAAACTGCGGCAAGATCAACTTTTCCCTCCGCTATGACTATGAGAACGAGATGTTGCTTGTCAAGATACTCAAGGCATTTGATCTCCCAGCCAAGGACCTTTGCGGCAGCTCCGACCCGTATGTCAAGATCTACCTGCTGCCGGATCGGAAGCAGAAGTTCCAGACACGAGTCCATCGTAAAACACTCAACCCCACGTTTGACGAGTCCTTCCAGTTTCCGGTACCCTACGATGAGCTTCCCGTCAGGAAGCTCCATCTCACTGTTTTCGACTTTGACAGGTTCTCACGGCACGATATGATCGGGGAGGTCATACTGGACAATCTGTTTGAAGTGTCTGATCTCTCAAGGGAGGCCTCCATCTGGAAAGACATTCAGTATGCTACCTCTGTAAGAGAACACTAGTTTTCTATTTTTAATACGACTGTTTCATTATTAATTAAATTGGGAGCATAACAATTTAAAGTTGAATTGTAAAATGTAGAATAAAATTTCATAACGTTTTCGTATTTGGTTTGAAAACATCTGACCAGGTGTACAAAGAAGTTCACATTTTAACAATTTCAATTTATTTATTTAATTTAATTTATAATTGATTTACGGTGGCCGAGAAGTGCTAAACAAATCACAATTCTGAAATCAAAATAACAAATTACAAACGCAAATGCAAGTCTAAAAAACAAAATAAAAGCAATTCATACAATACTTTTAAACTGAGCTACTTTAATACCATCTCCGAACTTTCTACCACGACTCTGCTGTTCTTCGGCTGGTTCTTCCCTGTATACGTTGATTGACAGATGTCTCGTCCAGTCAGCGGTGAGTAATCCCTAACCAATGGCGCTGTCTCAAACTATACCTACCTTTTCCGGTTTGTCTGATTTGTCGTTGTGTTTTCTGACTTGTTAATTTGTTTTCGGATTTGTCGTTGTGTTTTCTGACTTGTTATAATGTTTTCTGAATTGTTGTTGTGCTTTCTGAATTTTTATTTTGTTTTTTAAACTTGCATTTGCGTTTGTAATTTGTTATTTTGATTTCAGAATTGTGATTTGTTTAGCACTTCTCGGCCACCGTATTGATTACATTTTCAAATGTTCAGATCCAGGTTAAAATGAGATTTATTCAATTTTACATTTAATATATACATTTTATTTATTATTTTTATTTTATTTTATATATTACAACTTTAGATTCAATTTATATTAAATGAACTACCGTTCAAAAGGTTTTGGACTGTATGATTGTTTTTTGTTTTTGTTTGTTTTTTTTGTTTTATTGAAAGATATTAATACTTTTAACACCAGCATTAAATTGATTTTAAAAAAATGGCAGTATATTGTTACAAAATAATAATCTGTTACAGAAAAAAAATTCTATCTATCTATGAATCCTGAAACAAAAAAATCACTGTTTCCACAAAATATTAAGCAGAACATTTTTTTTTTTTTTATTATTCTGCTTGGTGAGCATAGGAAACTTCTTTCAAAAACATTAAAAATCATACTGACCCCAAACCTCTGAATGGTAAGATTTTCTATATGGTCTTAAACTTTTGGACCCCACTCTATCACAAGATAATATAAACCTGGTCTATCGAGCCTGATAAATATTGTTCATCTGCAGCATTCTGCACAAATAGTTCCATTTTGGTTGGCAAGAGAAGGAATGATCCTGAAACCTCAGCAAGTACTCTTGATATTGCACTGCTCAGACAGTTTGTGTAGATTAAAAAAATCCATTGACTCTAAATAACAAGGCTATTAGATGCCAGCTAAGGTATGTGAATTAGCTTGTTGCATTATTGACATGATCTAGTAAAATGCAGTCACAATATTCAACACGTTGTGTGCTGTACACCTGCTGATGCTAAGACTGCTAAATTAATGAGAGTTCTACCCTACCCTCATTAACACACAGATAAGGTAGTAACTGACAAATGAAGATGACTGACACATGCTGATTGTGTATGTGTGGACAAAATAATTGCCTAATTTTCGTAACGGCCACTAATAAGAGGTGCTGCCAATCACAGCACAGTATTAAACGCTTAAATTAACCTCCAAAATAGGTCCTAAGGTCATCTGAGGTTAGTTGATCACTCCATAATGGCAAGCTAGATGAACTTCAACTGCTCCTCGATGAGTCTTATGTCTCGGTTTTCTAGATTTACAGCTATTCTCAGAGGAGCGATTCAATAAACCTGTGGTTATTGCTTTCATGGCAGGAGGCCGGCTGCCTTGAAAACACACATTCTATTGCACTTGGCAGGAGATTTGAATCTGGAACTCAAAGCACTTCTTTTGAAAGCTATCAAAAGGGATAGTTCACTCAAAAATGACAATACGTTCATCGTTTACTCACTCGGAAGTCATTTTATACCTGCATTATATTCTTTTCTTTTTTTTAACACAAAAGGAGATGTTAAGCAGGATGTTAACGCTGCTCTTTTTCATACAACACAAGTTAGAAACAAGGGACTCTCAAGCTTAAAAAATTACACAAAGAACCATAAAATTTTCATAAAAGTGATCCATATGACTCATGTGCTGTATTCAAGTCCTCTGAAGCCATACAACAGCTTTGTGTAAAAAAAAGACTAAATTTAAGTTGTTATTCAATTATACAATATGGATATGTGTATTCAAATTTGTATTGTTATTCAAATACAATTCAAGTTAGGTGCTCTCAAGTTCAAAAAATTATAAAAAGCACATTTATAATTGATATATTTAATTATGCATTTTGATTATGTGGTTTTGTTCAAATTTGGTGTCACGATTGATTTCAAGACACACAAGAATCAATGGGATTTGAAATACTGACGTCAAACATGGTGTGAAACATCTTGACGTGCCATATTTAAATATATATAAAATTCAGACCTGGATGAGACGATTATATGTGAAAAATCGCAACTAAATTCTTTTCTTTTTCGATTTCAGAAGACTTGGGATGTTTTATGCATTTTAGAAACTTGCTAATAGGTAACTAATCATTTTCGTTAGAAGGAAAAGAGCAAAAAATACAGTTATACTTCTGCTTTTATATTTCACGAAAGAAAGAATATCACAGGTTTGAAATAACGATGGGTATGGTGACAGAATTTTAATTTTGGGGTGAACTGTCCCTTTAAGTTAATGCCAACAGACAGCGTCCAAAAGACATTGCCAGGTGGACTTGGGACAGAAGGACATTTACTAACTCATTTAGTCACTTAATGAGCTCAAGGACTGAAGTAGAGTGAAGCTTGAAGGAATTTGATTTTGGTGAGAGTAATAGTAAAATTAGTAATATTCACTACGGTCTCACATCGTTACTCTTTTGGAAATCAGACATAATTTTTCAAGCTTCATTATTTGATTTTTTTTTTTTTTTATCAAATCACTTTTTTATCCTGTGCCATAATGAGATATCAATGTTCAGTAATATCCAATGATTTGTTTGCTTAAAGTTTACTTTCTTTACAAATATTTTTCTGAAACATTTTTGCATTTTTTTAAACTCTCAAGCTTGCATTTACCCATCCATCAATCTACTTTAAAAAGTCCCTATATGATACTGAAGCACAACCTGCAAATAATCACCTTAGAGGGCTAGAGAGACATTAAGCCACAAGTAGGGGAGTCATGGGATATGTCCGTCAGAGAGTGGCTTACTGAGCTCATTTAAAGTGATTAATATTTACACCAGACTTAATACCGCTGAGAGGATGACGCTAACACACTAACTCCAGCACCGTCAGATAGCATACTTTGCCTTTGCATTGCACATGCTTAACTTTCAGAAAAGTGGGTGGTCTTGAAGTCTAAAAATACCACTGTTCCAATGCATTGCGCTTCACCTCTTAAAATGTTTTGCTGCATGGATGTGTTTATTTTATCTAGATAGATCTAAAAGAAACCCGCTCGGATCAGCTGTGAGGAAAATGGTGGAAAGGCTGGTGTGTTTAGGAGTGTTGACGTTTAATTAACGGTATGCTTGAGTGGTGTCCAGGAGAGCAGTGTGGCTTGGAGAATCGCAACAACTAATTGGTCACCGTGGCTGTATCGGACCAAACAGGACTCCTTTAGACCTCGATATTGAGTCACGGGCTTATTAAACACAACCTTCATAGTCAAAATGCCAAACCACATCCTCAAACACCAATAAATAACTTCTCGCAGCGCTAACTAGCTTTTAGCAAAAAAAACTATGGCAAAGTGACTGACATTCTATTCATATAGTATCTTTCTCTATTCAGGCTCTATTAATAAATGGTACACTATCAATACTGATGCAAGGATTCCTCCATTTAAAAAAATTTCTTCACAAACGTAGATTTGTTCATGAACGAAACACCGCTAATGACGGGTAGCCAAAGCATTGGTACGTTATTATAGAAGCCCATTTCCACGACATAAAAAAAATCATGGTTTGGTAAATTAGGTAATTAGGACATAAAACATGGTAATTATGAGGTAAAAAGTCTAAATTATGAGATACTAAGTCAGAATTATGAGATAAAAAGTCTAATTTATGAGATAAAATCATAATTATGGCATAAAATGTCATGATTATAACAAAAAGTAAAATAATTCACTTTTTGTCATAATAACTTTTTAATCTTAATATCAATTCATGTCAATTTTGACTTTTTGTCAGAATTTTGACTTTATCTCATAATTTTGTCTTTTCATTGTCATTTTTTTCTCATATTTTCTACTTTTTATGTACCACTTTTATCTCATAATCATGACTCTTTATGTGACGGAAATGGGTTTCCGTACTCTGATCTTGACTGCGAGTGATGCTGGGGGAACAGTGTCTGTTTTTGGTACATTATTGCACAATTACTGTTTTTGTCACTATTATCTGGTGCTATGGAATTGAAAAGGTGACCTTTATAACAAAATGTGCCAATACATCATGCTACATTGCTTTGTGTGTGTCTGTGTGACAGGAGAGCGTGGACCTTGGGGAGATCATGTTCTCACTCTGCTATCTACCTACGGCAGGCAGATTAACACTCACTGTCATCAAATGCAGGAACCTAAAGGCAATGGACATTACAGGATATTCAGGTAGTATTTCATCAGCTTTACTGCCTTTGACCATCAAAATACAGACATGAGATTAGAAGCAGTGGAGAGTGGGGGGAAGTGTGTCATAAGCACTCTTTTAATATAGCAAATATCATTTTTGTCATGTGAACATACATTTATCCCATCATATACACACGAGAATAGGATGCATTTTTATAATAAATGTATTTATTTGTTTGTTAATTAATTTATTTATTGTTAATTTTGTACATAGCAAATTTATGTCAAAGCCAATTTGTTCATGTTTAAAAATATACAGTATATCATACATGCTGGTGATCTTCAACTTATTTAAAACCAGATAAATTATTTGTCTACATGGGATGCATTTTTATAATAAATGTATTTATTTGTTTGTTAATTAATTAATTTATTGTTAATTTTGTACATAGCAAATTTATGTCAAAGCCAATTTGTTCATGTTTAAAAATATACAGTATATCATACATGCTGGTGATCTTCAACTATTTAAAACCAGATAAATTATTTGTCTACATATTCTAAATATTAAAGCTTTTCTGGTCAGGTTTAGAGAAAGTTTAATATATATATCTTTTTCATTTATGCTCATATTTTGATTTAAAGGTGACATATCATGAAAATCTGACTTTTTCTGTGTTTAAGTGCTATAAACGGGTCCTTGGTGCATCACCAACCCAGAAAACATGAAAAAACAACCCAGTAATTTTTTTTGGAAGCCTTTCTCTGCAAGCTTGTGAAAAGATGAGCTGCTCAGATTTTGCTCCCCCAGTGATGTAGAAAGGGGATATTATTATAATATTACATACAGCCCCTTAATCTGCAAGTTTCCACCCACGGCGCCACCGTTGTGTTTTCGCAAATAGCGAAAGTTCGATCAAAGCATGCAAACTGTTCTGTCTTTGGCTGCACTGACGAGCACAGAACTCTATTTAGATTCCCAGCCTCAGAGGAGACAAGAGGGCAGTGGATTTATTGAATTATTTACTGTATATTACGCTACTGCCACACAGATCTAATATAAACATGCAATTTCCCAGCTTTCCCAGCTGTTTACCTTCACAGACATAACCGACTGTTTTTGTAACTCATGTGTGTTTTTAACATAAACTTGTGTGTATTTGACAGTTTAAGCACAATAAGACATGAAAGAGAACTTAATTTAGTACCCACGTGCCATGTGACAGCCACTTTCTGTGCATGTGCTTCGGATATGTGCGCTCAGGAAACCGTATATCAGAAGTTTAAACTAATATGGTTTAAAAGTTATGATTTCAGCACGATAGACATGATAATCAAATCCAAACATTTTTTTTTTCACAGAGTATCTGAGGAACAAGCTGTATAGGCACAGCCCTATTCTGGAAAAGGGGGCGGGGAGCAGCAGCTCATTTGCATTTAAAGAAACATGCACAAAAACGGCGTGTTTCTGCTTCCACTCAGAATAGGCATTTTCAAAAAGATATAATAAATTATCTGTGGGGTATTTTGAGCTGAAACTTCACAGACACATTCTGGGGACTCCTGAGACTTATATTACATATTATAAAAAGGGCCATAATAGGTCTCCTTTAAAATATAAATCATTCATGCATTCCTCAATGATTCAAACCTCTTGACACATCCTGAAATATAATTATGTGTATTAGTTTTACCTCTGTCTCATTTCTCCTTGCCAAGAGGACAACAGAAGTAAAAAGTGGCACCACTCTCCCGATAATTGCTCCATTTGGTTTTATGGTTTCTGGAAACCTCTTTTGTTTTCCCATATATTGTTAATGCACGTTTCCCGCATGTTCTAATCATTGTTTCATGTTCCTAATTGGCTTTTGTTCTCTCTGTCATAAACAACATTTCCCAAAGGTAAATCAGCAGCATCACTGAGCGAATTAAACCCGAAAGTCTAAAGAACCACTCCGAATATGATGCAGGGAACGATTTTAAGCTCCAGTAACATGAATTACTCACACTATATTGGTTTTTCACTTATAATGACACAGGGTCTCACACCAGACATTTTTACTTTTATCTGCTGAAGAGTAAACATTTTTCATTTGCAGTAAAGTTGAATTCACATGAACTGGATAATATCTATTAAGAAGTGCCCCAAGCAAATTTGATGTCAGAACAAGTACTGCTCATCTGATTTGTTCTGACCAAGCTGGAAGTAGTTTATGGCTTACTAATGTACAAGCATAATAGATCAGACAATTTGTGCAATGATGGAGAGATATGGAAATCAGTATGCAGCTCTGATGTCAGAATCAGCACTCAAGTCATTCCATTAAAGCCCTAAATCTCAATGGCCTTCCATACACACTGAATATTAAGATGGCTCAATGAAGATATCCGGCATTCATTTCTAATCTTCTCATCTAATACTCTCATCAACTTCAAGCTATTGTTAGAGGATTAATTAATTGAAACTAGTGCATACTACAATATGTTTAAAGATAATTTATAAAAGCTCAAGCTGCAAATGTGAAATTAATAACAGTTATATGAGCTGAACTGATAATGGTATTCTCTCTGAGCAGATCCCTATGTGAAAGTATCCCTCATTTGTGATGGAAGACGCCTGAAAAAGAAGAAGACCACAATAAAGAAAAACACCCTGAATCCCACTTATAATGAGGCCATTATCTTTGACATCCCTCCAGAGAGCATGGACCAAGTCAGCTTGCACATCTCAGTCATGGACTATGACCTGTAAGTAACACAAACAGCTATTTCTCCGTTTTATATTGAAAATTTAAAGGGACAGTTTAATAAAAAAAGAAAATTCTGTTATCATTTACTTACTCCAGTGTTGCAAATATGTATATTTTATGGCTTCAAAAGGGGTGTGGATTTATTTGACTTAAGATACATTTATGATGATTTTGCATCCTTATTCTTTGTAATTGCATGGGGGGAAACATTTTTATTTATTTAACATATTTTATTATTTTTGTCAAATAAATATTTCTTAATTTATTCTTTAAAAAAAATGTACCAGTTTGAAATAACTTGAGAAAATGATGACAAAATTGACTTTTGCAATTCAGGCTTCTAGAAGGGAGCTGATTTATTCAAGATGGATGTATTTCTCTTTTGTTTTCATCTTCTCTAAAACATTTTATACATACTTAACCTAAAAATGCTTTACCAATACTATTCATCAGTTGTCATGCCAATTAAGCTGAACCACATTACAAATAACAACCTGTACAAGAAACATTAGAATAGCAGGAACATCAGAATAATCTCATGGTTCATGTGCTTCAGTAGGACGAGGAAAAGATCAGGTGTCAGAGCATTTAGTACTCACCTCTCTACAGGCGGGTGACTGGGCAAAGAACCAGGTATATTTTACCCAACATTCTCAAGTCTCAAACAGTCTGTTTGTGGTACTGAGAGTTTCTGAGAAAGGAACACACACTCTATTAAATGTCAGAAACTGCTATTTCATAATTGTCTTCCGTGGGTTCACAAAAGGACTCACGTAAAGTTCAGCACCGCTGAGGTAAATGTATGCTGATTTCTTTATCCTGTGGCACATCATCTACTCTCTCTGAATATGCACATATTTTTACACAGATAGCATTTTGCAAAATAGGTTAGTTGCACTGGCATACAAACTCATATCATTGTCTTTTAACAAAAGGCTTTTAGGTCATGCAAACTTTGGTATATTATTCATTGCCACTGTGGATGTGTTTATTTTGGATCACTTAAAGGAATAGTTCGCCTAAAAAGGAAAATTTGCTGAAAATGTACTCACCTTCAGGCCATCCAAGATGTAGACGAGTGTGTTTCTAAATTGAAACAGATTTGGAGAAGTTTAGCATTACATCACTTGTTCACCAAAGGATCGTCTGCAGTGAATGGGTATTGTTAGAATATAATCCAAATAGCTGAAAACACATCATAATAATTCATAAGTAATCCATCCATCCAGTCCAGTCCAGACCATCAATTAAAAAACGGTGTTTTTAAGAAACAAATCCATCATTAAACCATTGCTTCTGGCCAAAATATGAGTTCATAATCCATAATAAGGCTTCCTCCTGTGGGCATTGTCTTTTCACATCAAAATGCACCAATATATTTGTTTAGAACAGTTTTTGCTACTAAACACTACTTGATCTGTGCATATTTCTGTTCTGATTCAGAACAACATTTACACTGGAGAAAGCAATATTATGGATAAATGTCTTGGTGATGGATTTATTGCAAACACACAGTTTGTGGATTACTTGCATTACTTGTGGGATTATTGTGATGTTTTTATCAGCTGTTTGATCTTTCACTCTGTGGCACCCATTCACTGCAGAGGATTCACTGGTGACCAAGTGATGTAATGCTGATGTAATGTGTCTTGGATGACCTGAGGCTGAGGATGAGTAAAGACAACTGTGTTATATTGTAAAATGCAAATAATTGCATAAAACATGAGAAAAATCAGGTTGGACATTAATTAGTTAAGTTGGTTCATTTGTACCTTGTGTGCAGTTTGCTTAAGTGGAACAGGATTAGATGTGATTGGACTTGCTTGCTTTGCTCAGTATAATTAAAACAATATATCCTTATTTTTTATTTAAAAAAATTTTTTTTTCCTATATTGATTTTATGTATTTTTCATTACAGAAAATAATTCGCTAATAACGAGCATGTTCAACTTGTAGTATAACTTCAGATACATCAATTTCATGCAACCACAGATTGAAATCCACTCTATAGGGTGCAGCCCTTCGGCTATAACAATAAACTGCTCTATAATGCTCTCATTGATGGGTTTTTCATATGTCTTCTCTTACAGTGGAAAGCCAGAACGGCCAGTTTTGACAGTCAGGGGTCTTGTCCCTCCCCCAAACCTCCCGCCAGTCCTTGATCAGAGCCATATGTAAAACTACAGGCTCGGCATCCTCCGTTTGTCACTCCGATGAAAACGAGAACCCTGCTATTTCCATTTACTCCTGTGGGTTGTTTTAGATGGTTCCCAAACACTGATCTAAGATCCTGCTCTTTGCCCTGATGTTCACCATGTTCAAGCTGTTCCAGTCCGTACGATCCTCAGTCAATTCTTGGGAGTGTTGTACAAACCCCTGTACCTAGAATACTATTCAAAACCAACGTTGTGTTCCTAGAATAGCTTGGTATCGTCAGCGGAGATGTTTCTTTCCAATATGAATTTTCCTGAAGCATTTGAAATCCGATGCGGTGTTCTGCAAGCGGTCTACATGCAAACAGAAGTTTCCGCACAACACTGCAAGGCTCTTTGTAGATGGCCCTGCTCAGATCTAAAGACTTTGAAAGTAGGATCAACTATTGGAAGTACTGAGAATGAGGTCAGAAAGGATGGTGTATAAAATATTGAGGGAAAGGACATTGTTTTGTGTGAGTGAGAAAAAAGAAGGGAATGGATTTGTCATGTGCTGTATACTAAGAACAAACCATTTTCTCTGTCAAATCCTTGTATGAAAACTGTGAAGGTACACGTTTTATGAAGAATATTTAAATATTTATCAGTTTATTGATGTTGTATAAATGTTGTGTGTAAAAAGAGACTAAATTTATCAGAGCACAACACATTTTTCCTATCCATTAATTTCTTGCCAAAACAAAGACGTTTACGTGTAAAGAAGTTCCTGTTCACACACAAAAACACTTCACATGTAGCTGAATAAATTGATGTGATTACATTAATATTCATCGGTGAGACCTGGAGTACAAAAGTGGGCATTTAAGGAAAAAGTGCTGAAATATTCATAGAGGTCTGATTTGATTTATGTGGCTTTTATTCACTTTGTTACAATAGCATTTCAAGAGCTACAGAAGCGGTTCTGTATCTTAGTAGCACTGCTTTTAATAGCAATTCAATTCCTCTTTGAATCCTCCTGCTGTTTCAATCTCATGTTGACATCTCGTTCATCTTTTGACATAATTTCATTTTGAGTTAAATTGGACTGTCAAAGTTTTCCGTATTTTGACACACTGTCTGGGAAAATGTCTTGAGTAAACAATGTATGCTCAAATTTATAAAAAAATATATTCATATTCTGTATTGTATAAAAGAGCAGGGTTAACATTACAGCATAAAACAATAGGCAATTAACTAACGCTCATCTTCAGTTTAATATTTTTATTTGCTTGTTTGATTTTCATGTAGACAAAAGGGATACTTGAAACTATGTGAATTAAATAGTGAATCAATTATCTGTATAACCCAACAATTTAATATATAACTGTCAACTGATCAGTTTCTGTAAATTAAAAAGAAAAAAGAAAAAAAAACTAATGCCATGTTGCCCAATAATTATTTTTATCATATGTAATGCTTAACAAAGCTAAACTGAGCAATCAAAATAATAATTAGTATTACTTTTTTGATTTTTAATGTCATAAATGATTGAACAAAATTCAATACTTTTATTGCCCGCAATATTTTATTTGTTTATCCATGTGGTTTCAATCGTTTTATTTTACATGGTTAATTCATTCATAACACAGTTTAACTTGGAATTTAAATTTAACAGAGATGCTCAGGCAAACCCCTGCTAAATTATGATCACTGTAGTTAAAGTTTCTCCTGTCATTCATTCATTTAAAAAGAAGAAGAAGAAGAAGAATTTACAAAACTGCATATGCTGGAAACAAATGACATAAATGCACAGAAATGACATGAGTTCAGAACTTCTATTCAAGCTCCTGGACATTTTGACTGTATGTTTCAAATAAGAAAAGACAGAAAATTCAATGCATGTACAAATGCACAAGAGCTGACCCTTGATAGAAACAACCTACTATGCAGGAAGTTCATTGTCACAGATGGTGGGCACAGTTCAAGATACCAGAGCAAAGACTTTACACTGATCTCCAGTTGGTGTTGCTGAAATATCTTAAAATATACATGGTACTTGGGACTAGTTTTACATAATGTCCTCCATCATCTCCTAGGGTATCTGTTAAGCTTTAAATATTTCTATATAGTAAAATAGATTTAATATTTTAACAGAATCTTTAAAAATTCCAAGTCAACTTGTTGAAGAAATGGTTGTGACAAAGTACAACTTTTGGTCCTGTTTTTACAATATCACCAATGTTGTAACACTCAGATAACAAGTGTGTGTTTCTGTAGGTGAATGTAAAGTTAATTAGGTTTAGATCTGGTTCTTTACCTCATCACTAACTCCTGTGTGCTGGTGTTTTAACAACCTGTTTTTGCCCCCTTGTGAATCTGAACAACTTTCTAATTTTGTATTGATCATTTGTACTTGCAATATAACTTGTAATGTTTGAAAAAGTTCTTGTATTTCAAAAATGCCAAAATAAAATGTTGGTTCAGTCATTTCAAGGATGGAGTTGCTTCTTCTCAGTCTTGTGAACATCAAATCACAAATAGTGGGTTAGCATTGGTCAGTCACTTATTGAGACTGTTTATTGTCTCATATTTTTAATATTATGTGCAACAAAAGCAATATACCTGTGTATTCTTAAAGGTAAAGGATTAGTACACTCCAAAATGTCAATTTTGTCATCATTTACTCGCCCTCAAGTTGTTCCAAAAACAAAGACTTTCGTTTATTTTTATTTATTTAATCATTTTGCTGAATGCTGTTGACCATTTAAAGGCAGAGTAAGTGATTTCTGGTAGCCAATGTTGATATTTGAAATCACCAAAACAAACACGCCCCTACCCCAAAAGGGTCTTGCCCCTATTTTGATAGCTCC